AAGGAAATTGTATGAAGAAATTAATGTCTTAATAAGTGCGTGCAGATAACATGTGAAACTATAAGCAGAAGTGAGGAATGTTAGACCACTATAATATATCACTCTCTTGACGGGAGAGACATAGTCCACCCTAAAGCAAAGAAGGATTGATTCCCCTAGGGACTCTTACCACCATTCCCTAGAACGACATAGAAAAGGGAAAAGCTCTATTATTGGATTTTGAATCAGCTGCACATGAAGCTCTGGGACTTGAAGGAATAGAATGCCCCCTTAGAATGGACAGGGGCAGTCGATCATTGGCTTAATTGCCTGCCTTTTGGGACTCGAGTATCAAAAATTCCCGTATTTCGTCGTGAAAGTTTCACATTTTTCTTCTTCTGCAAAGAACCGAATGGACAAAGGGAAAGGGTGTTTTGGACAAGATGCCATAGTAGTTAAAGAAGGGCTTTGTTTGCAAAGATCTTCTTCTATCACACTGAAGCTTGAAAGCCTTTTGGACAGATAGCGTTGGGAAGGAGAGAAAGAATTTCTACCAGAGGGGGGCTCCTATCTATAAAGAAAGAAAGGGCAGACCTAGAGAAATAGCATGATGAGTTTAGTGGTTGAATAGCCCTGTTTTGTAAACAAGGGCTGAGGGCTATGGCATCTGTTGACTGAAACGAGTTGGGAAGCTACCGACCGTAGATTTCGCTTTTGGCAGCTCATGAACCGACCGGTTGACTCTGCTGCCGGGCTTTGAGAAATGGGAGTAGCTTTGGAAAAAGCGTCAGCTTTGGAAACATGCACAATGTTAACCATTCCTAGTGACACTAGTAACCACAACCGTATTCATATACTTTCTGCTCTATATGACACAATGTGCTCACTCTGTATTACTGAAACATGCACAATAAATTAAAATATTTGCACAATATTACTTGTGAATATGCACAATAGAATCAATAACACAAGTCTTATTCAAAAAGTAGTGAATACAAAGATTGATAATACTTCCTTAAGACCAAAACAAGATGCTGATAAAAACTATAATATGTTCAAATGTTAGAATACATTCTATAGAAGTAAGAAGAGGTTGCAATATTATGAGAAATCTGCCCTTATGCATTCATTATTGGAATGTATTCAAATATCCGTAACTTACTGCTTTCTTTATATAGGAAAAGCATTCCAGTCAGATGGTCCTCAAGTGCTATCCAGAAACTCCAAAAAGATGGACATCTGAAACCAAAAAAACAAAAAGAAAGAATAAATGCATTAAAAAAAAAGGCACCAAATTTAATAAAAATATAGAAAAAAAAAAGGAAAAAACTAAAATTACCTGTTTCGAGGTAGCGTGATTTAGGACAACTACGTGATTCCTGAAATTGGAAATCACGGTTCCTCCAGCACCAGCATAGCTCCCTTGGCAAACTTTAACCTCGCTCCCAATAGGATAAACCTTCCGGACACTCTCAACTGGAAGAATAATTTGGTTCGGGTGGCCAGGAGCACTGACATGCACCATTCCTCTCTCGATTTTATCCACGGTGCCAATGGCATGGTCACCACTCACAGCTCTAACTTTCTGGCCCTTCAGTCGATATGCAAGGGCTCGAACAATATCATCCTCCTTGATGGGAAGCCCTGCCTTCTGGAAATTATCAAGCTCATCGAGTGTAGGGTTCGGATTTTCCACCTCCAGCATCCGTAGTTCAAATACCACAGTCTCAATCTGGCCAACAACAACATAAACAACAAACTCCAACATAAACTAAACAAACTAGACTAATAGCAGACCAAAGGCAGCATCTTGGAGGCTACCCACAATAAACCTGAAAGCAAACCACAAAGGTCAGCACCCATCTGGTGAACAGAAAAGTCCATTGCCATCTGGTGACCTAGCACCTAAGCCATTCATGCTCAAAAGATTACACAATCTGACAATACGAGAATTTAAGCCAATCCCTCACACAAGATATAGGTGGTTAGCTGTATTCTGTCTTGGGAAACAGGAGACCTATCCAATGAACACACAGCCCCCCACCAATTTTTACACAAGACAGACCTTCCCAAGGGGCCATTTTTCACACCAATTGAGCTCTCCTACACCTGAAGAATATATGCTCAGTTTATTCAACCTCCTCTACACAGCTACTGCAAACTGGATCCACTCCCATTCCTCTAGTCCTCAGGTTCACGCTTGATGGTAAAGCCTGAACAAATAATTGAACTATAACTCTAACCCTAAATTAACTCAAGAATTCAATCTAACACAAATTAAACTCGGACAAATAATTTTTCAAAAACCTCGGAAGAGAGGAATCGAAAACTGACAAATAATTTTTAAAACTCTAACCCTAGTAACTCTAATCCTACCCTAACCCAGAGCAAATCACAATTGGGCATCGAGTTTTGACTGACCGGTCAAAGGGGCTGTCGCCGGCAGGCTGATGGCGGCGGAAGAGGGTGATGGAGAGGCGGGGAGTGTTATTGGAGGTGGCGTGTGTCTGTGTGAGTCTGTGAGCGGTGCGAGGTTCTGAGGGGTTTGGGGATTTCTTAGAAGGGAAGGGCAAATTGGGGTTTTCGATGGCTAAAAACAAATAACCTTTAATTCAAGAAACAGTTACAGCACCATGAAATTAATTAAAAAACATTATTACCTCCGGCTTTGATTTTCTGGCCCTCTTCGTGCCGGCGGTCACCTTGCCAATCACGGTGACGTTGTAAAACCCACGAGCCCCGTCCAATGTTACCATCTTTGGATTTCCGTCGACCACCAACTTTGAATTTCCTCCCAGCTTTGGATTTTCATCGACTGTCGACTTTGAATTTCCGGCTATCCTTTCCAGCGTCCCGTCCAATGTTACCAGCATTAGATTTCCGTCGACCGCCGACTTTCCTGCGACCCTTCCCAGCGGCCCGGCCAATGTTCCCAGCTTTGGATTTTCATTGCCCGCTGACTTTGGAGTTCCGTCGACCACCAGCTTTGGAGTTCCGGCGACCCTTCCCAGCGTCCCGGTGAAACTTCCCTGCTTCACACGGACCCATGCACCCACAGAGGGCTCTTCCTGGTCTCTGATTTTCAGCATATCACGCATGTCGGCGTACGGCACTAAAGAAACCTTATTGGCGTTCAAGAACTTTATCGGCCGAACTGCCTGGGGTTTGACCGGAAAATCAGCAGATAATCAAGATAATTAAAAAGAAAAGACCAAGATTTCGTGATTTGGTATAACCTGTTCGACGTCCATCTTGTTGAATGCTTCAACATAGATGAAACCGGCATTATGGTCGAGCACATGGGCACTTTGGATCGGGACAACTCTCTATGGATGCTCACTAGCAGCCAGTCCAGATTTCTGCATCAGAAGAATGACAGCCTCCCTTTCACGGCCAAATTCACATTGGACGGCCCATGTTTTTGTTAAAATATCAACACCTTCTTTTGGGAAGGACCCGGAAGCATCTAGAACAATCCGGAAAAATGTGGAACGTCGTGGAACATTGTGGAAGGTTCCGGAAGCATCTAGAACGACCGGGAAAATGTGGAAGGTTCAGGAATATTGTAGAAGGATCTAGAAGCTTGAGGAAGCTAGTTGAAGGATGTAGAAGATTCTAGAAGGTAATAGAGATTACTAGAATATTGTAGAATATTGTAGTAACTAGACTTATATAGATAAGTCTAGAACATTGTACATAATATTAGTAAGTTTTAGAATAGCCTAGAAGAGGCAAGAGTGTTAGGGAAATCTCATGAGTGTAGCTAGTTCTAGATAGCTCATTAGAGGGAGGGCTGTCTATAAATAGGCAAGACCACCTCATTTGCAATCAATCTCAATAATCCAAGCATCCAAGAGTCTAAGTAAAAGTGTGTGTATGTCATAGTTAGTGTGTTTTGGTCTTGATAAGTGAAGTATTGTATCTTGGTCTATATTGTATTTTGTAATTACTTTGTTAATCTAATAAAGTAATCAGGTGTTGCGAGTGTACCC